CGAGACATTTGAATCTTCTCTATTTATATAGCGTTTTAGGCAGTGTGTTTCTTGTCCGCTTCACAACAGGACTCTTTTTTTCTCCTAGTTTTTTTTTTAACACAATTTTTAAAATCAATTGGTTGTTATAAAATAGGCAGAGTATGAAAGTACCACTGAATATTGAGTGGGATTGTATTTGCTCTTGTGGTATTACACTGATAGAATTTTCTCTCTCGAATAAAGCTTTCCAACTCTCAAACTTCTCTCTCTATTTCTCTTCGGATTTGTGTCTCTCAAAATCTAAAGATTGCCTCTATTTATAGGCAGATGATATATGCTTCACAATCAGAGCATTCACTCTACAACATTAACTCATTATTGCTTCTTACTATTTGTAAATAGTGACTAAGCCTATAAGTCATCAACTTTACGTAAAACATGGTATTTCACTCAATGTTACTTCACATTTTCAACATGTGGGTCATCCATCATTTAAAACAGTGGTTGTATCAAATATGAATTTTGAAATATTTTTTTGGTTCCAAGGAATTATAAAGTTTGGGTCATTAAAGTTTTGAACAATTTATAAAAGATGAATTGAAAATTGAAAATAGCACAAAAAATGTATTTCTATTACTATGCAAAATAATTCAAGTTCCATACTCATAAACCACATAAATGTTATTGAAACACAGAGTTTCATAAATTTTATTAAAAAAATATATCTAAAATGCTTTACAGCTTTGGAGTTTTATAACTCTTTTATGGGCAAGTGCAAAATATGGTATTTTTTATTTAATTTAATTTAGGGGTGTATTCAATTCAACACATTGTGAATGTACTAATTTATCTTTATGTAATAAAATGTCTTCTCTTTTAACATTTTTATTAACTAAGTGGGATTTATGAGATTTTGAAAGTTTCACCCATCTGATCTGCTAAAGGAGTTTAGTCCAGTAAAAAATTGTCTTGACAGGTAGATCAATCTTAAGTTCAAACTTTCATGTCACTTTGATAGTGTGTGATAATAAATTTTTTAAGTTGGAAAAAAAATACGTGAAACCAGATTTATTTTTTTAATAAGATGCGAAAAGTGTAAAATGTCGTATACTTTTAAATTGTAACCTTGGTGAAAATAAAATAAATCTAAAAAATGCAAGGGTAAAATTGGAAAATCAAGAATTTTTGTTTAAGGAGCTGACCAGCTGGGGTCCGCTCGCGGGTTTTCCTTGCAGGACAAGGATTTTCGTGAAACAAAAATTTACAACTGTACTCCGGTCGATGCCTATTTAAATCCAAGTCTGTAGTTGAAACCCACTTTCATTCAGTTTCCTTCAATTTGCTTTAGCTTCGTTTTCACGCATTCAATTTGCCTCAGCTTCGTTTTCACGCACAGCGATACAAGGAAAATGAGTTCATCGAGCAACACCAGGAACCCTCTTGGAGAACAAAACTTCCTTCTGAGAAAGCCTAATTGGGAAAATGTAAGTGAATCTTTTCTGGGTTTTTTTTTAATTTTCGTTGTATTTTGATTATCTGTCCGTTTGGAATTCTAGGGTTTTTATTTGTTAAAGAATTGCGTTGAATCGTTATGTTTGATTACTTAGGAACACAAGCGCAAGCAAACACAATTCTGGGCTTTTTGTTTTTCAAACTCACGAAGTTAAGCTAGTTGTCCAATACAATGTAGAAAACCAACATGTTCTGTTTAAGGGTAGACTAAGTCTGAGAGATTCTCACTTTTCTGGCATTTTCTTTGAAACCAAACAGAGCTTTATTAACGCGTCTGGTTTTTGGTTTTCTTCTGGCTAATAAAATCTGTTTGGCATTTACAGTTGGATAGGTTTATACCCAATCGGGCGGCACTGGACCTTGATTACGCGCATTACATGGTCAGAGGAGGGAGAAAGGGAATCGAGAACCCGGAGGCTGCAAGCACTCCATACCAGAAGCTACTGACTGAGACCTTCAACATGAACCGAGGACGAATCTTCACATTCAAGAACAAGCCCCCCACCCCAGTTGAAGCCATTCCGAGGAGATTGCTTTCACCCCCTCTTCATAAGGCCAAATCTACCAAGCCCTCTCGACGGGTTCCTCAGGTATAATAATTGCATTAATATCATCATACTTGAATCTAATTGTGCTTAGGATTGTGTCTGTAATGAATCATATTGATTTTGCTTTGTGGATTATGTTCTAATTCTTCCAAATTGATTTTTCAGGGTCCAGAGAGAACAATGGACGCTCCCGGTGTTGTAGATAATTTCTACTCGAATTTACTAGACTGGAGCAGCAGCAACATTCTTGCAATTGCTCTTGGAAACTCAGTGTACCTATGGAATCCTTCTGACCATTCCATCGTAGAACTCGTCACAATTGATGATGAAGATGGTCCCGTTACAAGCATCAGCTGGGCTCCTGATGGGCAACATATTGCCGTCGGCTTGGACAATTCCTGGGTCCAGTTATGGGATTCTGTTTCTGTTAGACTGGTAAGAACATTGTTGTTGCTTATTATTGTTGGTCGTTTTCCTTAGAAAATGAAACCTTGGTTCTAATACTAATCTACTGCTGATTTTGTTACTGCAGGTAAGAACATTAAGAGGTGGTCACCATGGAAGAGTAGGTTCACTGGCCTGGAACAAACGCCTTCTTACTACAGGAGGAATGGATGGTAGAATTATCAACAACGATGTAAGAGTGAGATCCCACATTGTGGGAACCTACAAGGGTCACGAGGCCGAGATCTGTGGATTAAAATGGTCACCCTCAGGCCAGCATTTAGCTAGTGGAGGGAACGATAATGTTCTCTTCATATGGGACAGGTCAACAGCCTCTTCCAATTCACCAAGACAATGGCTTCAAAGGCTTGAAGACCACACTGCAGCAGTCAAGGCCCTTGCTTGGTGTCCATTTCAAGAGAATTTGTTGGCCTCTGGTGGTGGTGAACGTGACCGGTGCATTAAGTTATGGAACACACAAACAGGCTCGTGCTTGAGCTCGGTTGACACTGGCTCGCAGGTGTGTGGTCTTTTGTGGAACAATTATGAGCGTGAATTGCTTAGTTGTCATGGTTTTAGCAAGAATGAGCTTATCCTTTGGAAGTACCCGTCAATGGTGAGGGTGGCAGAGCTCACTGGCCATACCTCCAGAGTTCTCTTCATGACTCAGGTACAAATTTGGACTTTAATTTGCACTTTGTGAATTCAATTCTGTTTGTGTATTTGATTTCATGGATTGATTTTCATTTCGAATAATTTTTCATGGCAACTTCATATGGTAGTTACATATTCTAATTGTTTGTAACTTCTGTTGTATATGTTTTCAGAGCCCAGATGGATGCACTGTGGCCACTGCAGCCGCGGATGAGACGGTTCGAACTTGGAATGTGTTTGGGATTCCTGGAGTTTCAAAACCTGCACGAAAAGAAAATCCATTGCCATTTGCTCCTTTATACACCATTCGTTGAAGATCATGTAAATGCTGGAGAGAATTCTATCTGTTTTGTCTGGGATGCCAAATGAAACAGATGGGTGTATATGGTGTACATTGTTTACAAGAAAAAAAGCAGATAAGTGTATATGGAGAGAATTCATACAATTTGTATGAATATATAATGTATATGGTTACACGAAGAGGAAAAAAAGAAGAAGCAGTTTTGATATAAATTCTTCTTTCTAGTTGTCTTTTTGCTATCTAATTTCAGACCATGTTTTCAACATAAAGTTGGACCAGAAAACTTAACCTGGGGCTGGGAGAAGTCTGACCAATTGTGATAGGCTTAGTAGGATGATTAGTGATTAGTGATTAGTGAGTAAAGAACGTCACCCAATGACTAGCTAAGTCTTTGTAATAATTATTTTTTGATAATGGCTAATGTGAACATTTGTGGATGTACTGTAACTCAAAATTTTAGCCAATTTGAAGACACTGATTTTTTTAAAACTCAAGTACTTGCAACTTAAACTGAACAAAACATCATTCACTACCTCGAAATATCATCTCATTCTTATTACTTTTTCAAATTCAAAAAGAAAAAAAAATGAAAAGGTCGTCTTATTCAAAACCCCAATCCAATTATGAAATCCCTTCTCTCCCACTTCACACCTCGGAACGCACCGTTCTTATATTTATATAGAGAGAGGCGCTTTCACATCTTCTTAACCGGAAACGGCTGGGGAGAGGAAAGGTCCATTACACTGATCACACATACAACTCAAAGCATCATTCATTACATCTAACCCACTTCAACAATTTAACCCCTAATGCATCTATCCCACTTCAATAACCCAACTACATAGGACCATAATTGCCATTTTCTTTGGCACAAGCCAACCAAATGATCAAGAAAAAAGCAAACGACACCCAAAACCATGGGTTTTTCCCCTTATGTTTCTCATAATTTTTTTATTATTCTTCCAAGTGATTGATCTTCCGCAGCAAACCGGGTATTATTTGCTTTGATCGCTCGCACATAAAGCCCATTCCCAAAATTCACATTCACCCCTTCCACACACTACTTCAAAACTGGTCAACAAGCACGAACATAAGAACACAAATACAGTATAGTCACATAGCGACGATAACAAACACCATTTATCTACATAGCAATTGTATCAGCGTTATGAACAGTTGTAGATGAATGATGTTTGCTATCGTCGCTATGTGACTCCCGTTACGTGCTGTCCGTTAATCTCATCCTAAGGTTTCACGATGGGAGCACGCTTGTCTTTTCCGAGTCAGCAGACTGCTGCCTCAGATATTGGGTGGATAATATATATGAGTTGATGGATCCAAATAGCCAATACATCATCCCGGAGCTGCGTACGATATACATATATAATAATTTGCAATTCTTTTTATTCGTATTCATTTATTTTACTGGAGTATGTTGTTTTTCATTTTTATTTATTCGTATTCATTTTTTAATGTTGCAGCGATATTATTAGTGTCATGCTCCATGTTTTGAGGTTTTATAAAAAAATCACCTAAATATTACTCTTCATGGGGTATGGATGAGGAATGAGAGCACTCTATTGGGATGTCCCGGTCTGCCTCACTCTGCTTGTGTTATTTTGGGAGATCATAAGATGTACACGGACCTCTGTTACAGGAACAACTTTCCAAATGAGTTGGACTTCTTCTTATGTGTTTTGGAATATGAGGAGAACTAAGTATATTTTTATATTGTTACATTGTCATTAATGCTATATGCTAAGGATCCTAGCTACAGCAGGAACTGAGCAAGTACGAAAATTACAATTTCATCTTAGGCCGGCGTAATTGGTGTCCGGTTGCATTTCTCATATGTGGCAGAGAGCACAATTCTTTGGTAAGAACGTAATCTTGATTCAATTTTATTATTATTATTATTTCAAATTGCATTTAATTAATTTTTTCGTTTGGTACAGAGGCTGTGTATGACCTCATACTTAGCGAAGTGTGGCTTGATCATTTGGATATGGTCAGCTACCTATTTTCTAGTTTCTTCCCTAACTGCATATTCAACAAAATCGACGCATAATTGCGAGAATATTTTTGTACCTTACTCATTTGAAATTGAAAGAATATTGGGTCAATGGGAGCTTATGTATATGGGTTCATATCTCTCATGACAAAAATAGGGAGCAGAAGAGGAGCACATCCGCAGGGGATGGTGGCAAATGATGCTAATTGTTATTTGTTGTCTTTAGAGTTGTAGAAAATCCTAGTTTAATCTGTATTAATCAGTTGGGAATCAAAGTTTATTTGTATTTCTATGGAAATGTGGGATTGTATGTTGGTAATTTGGATGAGTTTGAATGTTGGATTTGCTGGGAATTTTGATTTTTATGATGAAAATGTTAATGTTTGTGTATTGTGAATTTCCATTAGCCATCATGTGACCTTCAAAAAATTTCACCATCTTATATAAAGGTTATGATGTTACATCTGAAAGTTGACTCCTTTTGCTCCTCAATGGTAATAAAGGAAAGGATATCAATGAGAAAAAACAACTAAAGCCTTGGCCCACCCATGTATGAAACCTCGTCCTCCATTCCACCTCTATTCCTGGGAAATATTTCCATTAATGCTGCAATACTTTCCTAATTACCTCGATCCATGTTATTTTTGTTTTCATCTTCCTCAAGCTCCACCTGCTCTCTTTAACTAATCACTCTAACTACTCTATTTATCTTTTTAATTTTTTAATTTTTTATAATAAACAAATGTTTTTATTGAACAGAAATGAAATTACAACACAAGGTTCTCTCTCACTTAAGATACCGTGAACCTTTCCACACTTGATCCAAACTGAGTTTTTTTACCTAAGCTATCCATTTCACACAAGCTTTTCCGCTTTTATATGGTCTTTAATCCACTAAGTTTGGATATTAATCTTCATTTTGTTGGTTGAGATTTGGAGTTTATGATTTGTTGGGATTTTGAGTTTGGAAGAAGAAGAAAAAATAAATTATTGGGTCCAATAATAGTTAAATCAAGAGATTTTTATTGCTGGATAGATTTCATCTAGTAGTCCCTATACAAATGGTTGCAGCATGCCATTGCTTTGGACCCTGGCTATGAAACAGTGCTTACTAACTAACTATTGACACCCATTTTGCGCAGATGGGTGTCTAAAATTTTGCTTAAATTTGCTGGATTTGATCCTAAATTGATTGTTTAAGGGTCAATCATGACCGTAGTTTAATTTTTTATTTACACATGGAAAGTTCGTGGCTCAGTCTCCATTTTCTTGGTGGTGTTATCTTTTTTCTGCTGGGATGGATGAAATTGCTGCTCATAATACCTGTTAGTTTGATGCATTTTTCATTGGATTCTGGCAGATCAAACATCTGATAATCTTGTATTGGAACCATGCGTCGTTTCCTGCACTACTTTTGCTTGAAGAGTTCCAAAGTTGATAGACATAGACTTGGGTATGAAGACCCTACTAGTCTTGCTTCAGAAACTGCTTGTAAGTAGAAGACTCGAGAGTTGCTTTAATTACTTGGCACAGTTATTCACTTGTTGTGGAGCTTTAACAAATTTATGTTGATTGAGTTGCCTGCATGTATTTATTTCTGGCATTGTACATGAAGCCATCGTGTTGATGCCGTGCTGTGCATATAGCTTTCTACTACTGATTGTCCTTCCTCCTCTAGCCTTTCTCTTTGTGAGTTGGGAGGAGGAAGTATATACTATGTATGCGCCTTTATATTCACATGTTAAAGTTCTTCCAAGGCAGTGCCATGTCCTTTCTGGTACCTTGGTCATGCTAGGCAATGTTGAAGCTGCCAAAACACAAACTCTGGGACTGCGGTGCTATTGCCCAATGTTTGCTACTTTACTATTAATGTTGCTTGCTTCTTTTTATTGTGTTACCATAGAATTCCTCCCTCTTTCACCTGCTGTGATTGGTTTGCATAGATGCAAGGTTCACCACATATCACTGACTCATCATATACTTGCTGTTTGAAATTTTTTGTGTATTTGCTTTGCTAATTGCTAGTTTTTGTATGGATTATACGGGTGGTCATAATCTGTACAGCTCAAATTTCTAAATTTTGGTGCTTAAATTATTTAACAGTTACAGTAAATGAAGTGGAGGCCTTGTTTGTATGATCTGTTTAAGAAACTAAGCAGTTCCATAATTAAAGATGGTCTTCTACACAAGGTATTTCCAGCATTTTCAATCTTGAGATGACTGAGTGTTTGATCTGCAATCTGAAATTGTTGCGGACTCGAAATAGAATCTTTACTGTTTCATTTTCTTAATAGGGCTTGCACTAAATCTTTGACATGATATGAACAGGAAGAATTCCAACTTGCACTATTTCAAAGCAGCTGTAAACAGAATCTTTTTTGCGGACAGAGTGAGTGCAACCTATATTATTACTTAATTTTCTTCAAGTTTGTGTTTGTGAGTTTGTACTTTGGATCAAATGCTGCATGCTACAGTCAAGTGAGTGAGGACTTTATGGTGAAATTCTATAGTGCGGGTACCATATATGGACCTTCATATTAGCATGTGGTAAATATGAAGGTCTACATCTATGGTCTATATATGGCACCCTCACCATAGAATGACTCGGACTTCATGACCTTCCATGGCACGTGAAGGAGATGGTGTCAGCCCTACTGAGTGAATCAGATCTGGAACTTTCCGATGATGTTGACTCAATTGTCGAATAAAAACAGACGTATCTTAAAAGTATACAAGTGTAGTGTGGCAATTCCTACAAGTTCCTTGGGTCTAGGGTCCAGTCTTGAATGCAGATAACAGGAACACAGCCACACATATGCATAGACATCCAAATAAAAGTCAAACGTGCTTACTACAATTGTCCAAGAAACAGTACGTCATAAGGTAATCGATCCAAATTTTAAACTACAAAAGTCCAAACTATAATGTCAACAACATAATATAATTCATAATTGAAGTGCATCCATCCAACTTATTCCTTAGCCATTTCACGAAGAAAGGACCTTGCACTTTAGAAAACATCACTCTCTTCTTAGGCTGACATTTAAATAGCCCTCTCGCAAACCACCGCAAACAACTATCAGAACGTCCCCCAGGTAAAGATTCAACAGCCTGCATCACTTCATGAAGTGAAGGTGCAGTAATACTCTCAACTGCCTCAATAAGGCCACCCCTCTGTTCTAACAGTGTTGCAGCACCTCTCCGCTCACTTCCCACTTTCCACCCTCTTACAACTCCTCTATCATTCTCATCTTTCCTAGCTTGCATGACAAGTTGTTCAGCTCTCCTTTCCCCCATCCCAGATGAACCTGTAGGTTTCGTGGTTTCGACTGGGACGACATTCCTTTCAGTAGCAAGTACATGTACACATCAATAATAGAGTTTAGTAACTATGATATAGAATTCATCTATATATCAGAAAGATAGAAATAAAAGATTGAGTAACATATAGAGTGATCACATTCGGAGAAAACTTAACTGGGAACTGTCAAAAAACACCAATAGGCACCAATATATGATTGCCTTCAGAAATATGCAAAAGCACGAAATGTAGCATAAGGAAGAAATGAATTACCAGTAGAGCTCTGCCCACACACTTTGCAATCCAAATAAACCAATCTTAGATACCATTTCACCATTTAGATAGCAATGGTGCTAAGTTTTGAGGTCTTTTATGTTCAACGCTTACCTTATTTTGAACAAAACTTAAAATAAAAAGTTTCAAGCTTAGGTGCTAAGTTTGTTAGTTTATGTAAAATAGGCCCAATGTATGAAAGTAGAAGAAATAAAGCCGAAAAAGCATGAGTTACACACATAAAAGGCCTTTTTGCTACTATAACTCTTGGGCTAAAAGGTTTTGTAGGAGGCCCCATTTTTTTGAGGCGCTGTGCTGTACCCTGTGAGCCGGGCCTGGTCCTAGGTCTGATTTTCCCCCACTATCACTTGTGAAAATAAAAAATGGATACGATTAATTTATGTCTTGCTTGGGGACCAAGTTGTGTAGTTTACGGTAATGGAATTTGTTAGCTGGAGAGGTCTAGTCTTGCTTGGGGGCTACGGAAAAAAAAAACTTGGCCGAGAAAGAATTACTGCTTTGCATACAACTTTTTTCCTTTTCAGATAAAACATTCCTTTTTTATTTTTGGTGAGATTGGTTTTCCTATTTTCACTTGAAAAACAAAACGGTTTCATAAAAAGGCAGATTCCAAACGAATCCCTTTATATATTGAGTTTCTCAACCAACAATCAAACCCTCCACACTCTTTTCTCTCTCTGATCAATTAAAATAACACAAACAAGCTCTGCCTTAAATCTGCTACCAAAGCTTGGAAGCTCTCTTCGTCCACCGTAAGCCTCCAATTCATTTTCAATCTCTCTCTCTCTCTCTCTCTCTCTCTCTCTCTCTCTCTCTATATATATATATATATATATGTATATGGATGGATGAATGTGTTGGATTATCATATAGTGATTTTTCAGGGCCTAAGTAAAAGAACAAAAGAAATTGCAATCTAGTTATTGTTTTAATGAGTTTTGGTTAATATATTTTGTATGATAATTCATGTAACGTGTTAAAACATTTTGTAAATTTGAGAATTATGTCTGGTGTGTTGATTTTGTTTCTGAATCAGTTGTTTGCTATTTGGTTTTTTCAATTTTCATGAATTGGGTTTGGGTTGTAATGAACAGGAAGATAAACTTTGAGGCTGATTTTCGAAGCCGTTTCGCATAATCAACCAAACAGATTCTTGTGATTTTCTCTCGACCTGTTTCAGTTTGTTGTAGCCTTGTAGGACAGAATGGAATCGAAGTTCTGGAACCAGGTTTGTACTTCACCTCTGTAGTTGGATCAATTTTTCTTCTTTAACTCCTGGATTCTACATTTTGATGAAATGTTAAGAAGCATGTTATGTGCTAGTTCCTTGTTTTCTTCATTTTTTAATAAAATTTTCATGTGTCATTTTAGACTGGTAGTGATTCGGAAGATGCTGATAGTGAGTATGATGAGGAGGCTGAAGCCACAAGCGTTGAGACTTCCAAACAGATTGACAACAAATACCGCACCAATGTGCTTCCTGACTATCAATCTGAGGATGAGAAGCGTGTTGTTAGATCGGTGAAGGACAAACGTTTCAATGAAATGAATGCCACTGTTGACAAAATAAAGAATGCAAAGAACATAAATGACTGGGTGAGCATGCAGGACTGCTTTGACAAGATGAACAAGCAGCTTGAGAAGGTGATGCGTGTGACTGAGTCAGAAAAAGTACCGTCTCTGTACATCAAAGCGCTTGTTTTGTTGGAGGACTTTTTGGCTCAGGCTCTTGCAAATAAGGATGCTAAGAAGAAGATGAGTAGCAGCAATGCCAAGGCCTTGAACGCTATGAAACAGAAGCTGAAGAAGAACAATAAGCAGTACGAGGATTTGATTAGTAAGTACAGGGAGAATCCAGAGCAGAGCGAGGAAGAAGGGGGGGCAGAAGATGAGGTAAGTGAGAATGAAGAGACAGATTCTGAAATTGAGGATCCAAAAGATATTGCGCTTTCGGTTAGTGGAGATGGTGATGAAGAGGAAGAAGGTGATGGGGACAGTGAGGATGGTTGGGTGAAGAAAATGAGTAAGAAGGATAAGCTCATGGACAAGCAGTTCATGAGGGACCCTAGTGAGATCACATGGGATATGATTAACAAGAAATTCAAAGAGGTTGTGGCGGCTCGGGGCAGGAAGGGAACTGGAAGGTTTGAACAGGTTGAGCAGCTTACCTTCTTAACAAAGGTTGCTAAGACCCCAGCACAGAAGCTTGAGATTCTTTTCAGTCTTGTTTCTGCTCAGTTTGATGTGAACCCTGGTCTCAGTGGGCACATGCCTATAAATGTATGGAAAAAGTGTGTGCAGAATATGCTTGTTATACTTGATATTCTGGTGCAATATCCTAACATTACGGTGGATGACATGATTGAGCCTGATGAGAATGAATCCCAGAAGGGACCAGATTATAACGAGACAATCAGAGTTTGGGGAAACTTGGTGGCCTTTGTGGAAAGGATAGATACTGAGTTCTTCAAGAGCTTGCAGTGCATTGACCCTCACACCCGTGAGTACATTGAAAGACTCAGAGATGAACCTATGTTTTTGACTCTTGCTCAAAATGTTCAAGAGTATCTCGAGAAAGCTGGAAGCTTTAAAGCTGCTGCAAAGGTGGCCCTAAGGCGGGTTGAGCTCGTGTATTATAAACCGCAAGAAGTTTATGCTGCCATGAAGATATTGGCAGAGCAGACAGAAGATGGTGAAACTGGTGGTGAAGGACAGGAGCCTAAAGCAGTTGAGGAAAGTCGAGGTCCACCTGCATTTGTTTTAACTCCTGAGCTCGTTCCTCGGAAACCTACTTTTACTGAGAGTAGTAGGGCCTTGATGGATATTCTAGTTTCCCTCATATATAAGTATGGAGATGACCGGACGAAAGCTCGAGCAATGCTTTGTGACATTTACCACCATGCTCTCCTGGACGAGTTCTCTATCGCCCGTGACTTGCTGCTAATGAGTCACCTGCAAGATAGTATCTCGCATATGGACATTTCCACCCAAATACTGTTTAATAGGGCAATGGCACAACTTGGTCTCTGTGCATTTCAGAGCGGACTGATCCCTGAAGGGCATAGCTGCCTTTCTGAGCTATATTCTGGTGGAAGAGTAAAGGAGTTGCTTGCACAAGGTGTCTCCCAAAGTAGATATCATGAGAAAACTCCTGAACAGGTACCAATTCTTTTGTTTTGTTTTTCTATATAGTTATTCTCTATGTTTTCCTCGTACTTTCTTTACGATCTGAATTCATTAGGCGCACTGATGGTATAGATTTATAATCAAAATTCCACAAAGAGCATTAATGTTGGTAAATCTGTTTGACGACATATGACCTTCAGCTAGTTCTGGATTAATTAGTTATGTCCCATTTGAAGAATTTTTTAAAGCAGATGTGACCTAATATTTTTTGTAAGATGTGTTACTTTCGGTTTGGTCAGACTCGATCCCAAGGAAACTCCTGATGTGTTCTTACCTTAGGCGTGAATTGATTTCATTTTTGAGCTATGTGATGGGGAAATGGCTGTGTGTTGTTCTTGCAAAGGAGTATATATATTGCATTTCTCTGCTTCTGTGCCTTTTGTGTTTGTCTATAGTCATTGAAACACGAGACTTTGAATGTTCTTTGAGTCAACTGATTCCACAAGTTGTCAATTTGATTCCCTGCCACAAGATTAGCTTAGTTTCCGGTGTTACAATTATGAAACGATAAGAGTGCTGCTCTTTGTCAAATTGCAATTTAGCATAATCTTCAAGATTCTTAAGAAACAAACCAAAGGATTTGAAGAAGCAAATTGGTTAAACAAGCCATTCAAGGGAAACAACATATTCTGAAAAGCTGAAACCATAAACAGAGCATTTTGATTGGAGCCTAAGAAATCTTAAATTAGATTTTCTGTACCGATTTATTTAGTTATAGTAGATAATAGTAATGTTCTATGTCTAATTTGCTATCAACTCTATTTTATAGAACTGATTCCCCCCCTAATCTTTTTGTTTCTTTGTTTCTGTTTTTATTTTTCAGGAAAGGCTGGAGAGAAGACGGCAGATGCCGTACCATATGCACATAAACCCTGAGCTCCTGGAGGCAGTTCATTTGATATGTGCCATGCTGCTAGAAGTGCCTAATACGGCAGCTAACATCCACGATACAAAACACAGAGTGATTAGCAAGACGTTCAGGCGGTTTCTTGAAATGAATGAGAAGCAAACATTCACAGGACCCCCTGAAAATGTCAGGGATCATGTAATGGCAGCTACCAGAGCCCTCAGCAAAGGTGACTTTGAAAAGGCCTTTAAGGTCATCAGTTCCCTTCATGTCTGGAAGCTCCTCAGGAAGCGCGAGAGTGTTCTTGAGATGCTCGAGGCTAAGATCAAGGAGGAGGCTCTGAGAACCTACCTCTTGACCTACTCCCCCGCATACAAGACTCTAAGTTTGGCACAGCTCACCCAGATGTTCGAGCTCTCAGAGGCGCAGGCTCATTGCATTGTGAGCAAGATGATGATCAACGATGAGCTGCGTGCTAGTTGGGATCAGCCGACACACTGCATTGTTTTCCATGATGTTGAGCACACTAGGCTGCAGGATCTAGCTTTCCAATTGACTCAGAAATTGTCAATCATTGCAGAAAGTAACGAGAGGGCAACCGAATTGAAGATAGGTGGCGGTGCTATAGAGCCTTTGAGGCGTAGGGACAGCCAGGACTATGGTGCTGGAACAACTGCAGTGAGTGGCAGGTGGCAAGATAACTTGTCATACACGCAAGGAAGACAAGGTGGTGCCTCCGGGCGCACAGGATATAGATCAATGGCATATGGTCAAGCTGCAGGTGGGTATTCGAGGGATCGAACAGGCACAGGCCAGTACCGGGGAACAGGTCACAACACACGGTATCAAGATGCTGCATACGGAGGGTCAGGAAGGGCTGGATATCAAGCTGGTTCATCTGCAAGGGGGTCTCAGATGGATACTTCAACCCGTTTGGTCAGTCTAAACAGAGGAATTCGTGCTTAAGGAAACATAGCATAAAAGCAAGGCTGAAACTTTTTCCCCCTTGGAAACTATTGTTTTTTTATCGTTTGAGTTTATTTCTAGAGGCTTAAGTTGGAGTTTTGTGTGTTTTCTTTTGAATTGCGGCCATGTTTTCTTTTGCTTGTTAATAATAAGTTGCCTCTTTAGATTTGTGCCTGACCAGATTTTTATTTGATTTTTGTTTTGCCATCAGAAATACTTTCTTTTTTTTTTTCTTCTTTCTTTTACACCAGAAAACTACCAGCCCTTCCACCAAATGTAACAACATCCTCATCGTATCTAGTGCAGCAGCTTGAACTAAGTAGAAGAGGCATAGCATATTTTATGAGCTTTGCTTTTAGTAAGTTTTCACAAAGCCAATAAATGGTTTCCAAGGGTCACTAGCTGATCCACAATTCCACAATTCCCAAAGTAATTGCCATTCAACAAGTTATTATCCCACCCATACATACCCCACATTTCTTCTTCTTACGGCATTGCATACACACAATAGGTCATTAAGTGTGCACGTTTTATAATTCGACACATACGACATCAGATATACACAATAATTTAACTATATAATTTATTAACGATTGCAAATTAAATCATTTTCGACAATTTTAGACCTAGTTGCAACTTGCAATAATTAATAAACTACAAGGTGCAATTGAAAAACTTTCGTGGAAAACACATCAATTTTTTATTTATTTAAATTTTATCTGAAAAACCAGATCAACAATATAATTTAGCAATAAGTATGATGAATAAAATAAATATTAAAAAGCAAACCCCTCCCTTCTTTTCTATTTTTCTTCTCATGTTGTCAAAGTCCTTGAAGAAAGCACGCGAATCTCCCTCTCCACAACATGAGAAGAAATCACCTCTTGAGCCTCTGAACGAAAGGTGAGGTTTTAGCATCTTCCTCAGTGAGGCCAAGAGAGAACTTGGCGATGAGGGTTCCGGTTATGGCGAATCCAACCAGGAACGCCCAGTTCCGGTTCTATTCTCGCTCGAAAAAAATCGGCCACGGATTGAACTTACCTCATTTCTGATTTTCTCTTTCCTTCTCCAATTGCTCTCTCTCTCTCTCTCTTCTATAGCTTTATATTTGTTTTCTGAGTTAAAGGTTTAATTTTCGAGTGATATAATTATCTTTTTTCTCATTCAGTAAATCAATTGCTTCTGTGCATCAAATCCCAATTTCAGTTCAGCTGCCGGAGTTAGGTTCTTTGAGTTCAGGTAAGTTTGCTTTGTGTATAATTTTACATTTGTATTGTTATGAATTTCTGATTTTAGTTTGGGAATAGATTTATTTTATTTTATTACCATTTATTGTTTCTTATGACAAGGTCTTAGGCTAATGTAAATAATTTATAACAATACGTTGCAAAGTTCACATTCTATCAGCAGCTAATACATATGGAGGTGTGGATTTAATTTATGGGATGGTTTCGGGTTCCCTGTAATCTTTTGAGATTGTTTTGTTTATGGCATTTTTAAATGGGCTTGATTTTTGGTTTGGTAGAATGCGTTTGATTGTGGTTTGGGTGATAGAGTGGTGGAGATGCAGATGGAGGTGTGGGTACTTTGTGTCTGTTAAAAGGAAATTGCAGGTTTATGGCTTGGTTTAAACAATTGTGTGGCTTTGTGTTCGCTTTAGGTGTCAGTGTCGTGATGCAAAGGAGACTGTGTTTCTAGGTTTAAATTCTGTGTTTCTATACATAATTGGATGATTTCTTAATATTTCTATTAGGTTATTTCAGTTTGTTTTCTGTTTGATTTGGAGAGCTGTGCTTGGCATGATTGTTTTCTTTAAACTTGGTTGATTTAGGTTTGGCCGGAAGGTGCTGGCAATGGCTACAGCAACATATCCACCACCACCACCGTATTATAAGCTCTACAAAGATTACTTGCAAGATCCCAAATCAGCTCCGGAGCCGCCCCCTCCGATTGAAGGGACATACATTTGCTATGGTGGCAATTACACTGTGAGCTTTTCTCATTCTTTGCATTCTTCCTGTCAAAATTTATATAAACTGTGTAATTTGATTTCTGAAAATTGCTTTTGTCACTAATGACTGGATGCTAGAAGTTTTGGTGAAAAGTAAAGTTTGTTGAATTTACTGTTTGAATAATGCCATCTCTCCTTTATAGCAGTTGCTTTAGCCAGGAATGTCATATATGTACCTTTAAAGTTGTTGGCTTTGAATGTTGAGTTTGGAAAATATGTGTAATTCTATTATTTACTGTGTTGATGTTATCAATGTATGATTTCTTTGCTTTCCTTGTAATCTCTTCTTAATTAGTTTTATCTTATTTTATATAGACTGATGACATTCTTCCGAGCTTGGAAGATCAGGGAGTGCGTCAACTCTATCCAAAAGGCCCAAACATTGGTATCCCTCCGTTCTAGTTTTAATTATTTGTATTGTCATGTGAAATTACTGCTTTTGAAATTTAGGAATTAATGTGAACATTTTCTTGCTTCAACCATTGTTGCAATCATCATTTATTGCAGTTTTTTCTTAGCGTTGGTTGAATTATCTTATTATTATTTATCATTTTTATAAACTAGTTAACTATAATTTTCTTTGGAAAGATGTTAGCAAAAGAGAGGTTTTCTTTGCTAAGTTAGAACACGGTTACTAGACTGAGAAATGTTCTCTTGGTTACAGTTATCTACGACTTTCTTGGTTACAGTTACTCCACATTTCTGATTGATTGCCATAGTTTTGTAGGCTATGGCATATATCCAATCCATACTAGAAAATGTTGTCATGCATGATAGATCCGTCATTACGACTAAAATATGATCCCTTAATGAGCCTTCTTTAGTGCAATACAAAAGTCCTCTCTAGAAAGGAGAAGAATGTTAGGGGTTATGTATCATATGGTTTGCAGAGTATGATTTTATTGATAATAACTAACAAGAAACAAATAAGAACTGCATGTGCACATGCGTGTATGTCTGTGTTTATTCTAGTGTTTTCTTTTATATATATATATATATATATATATTTTATTTTATTTTTTTGTGCAAATGCATGCATTTGTTTTTCACCTCTAAAATGTTTTATGCTTCTCTGACAAAAATTGTGATCCTTCTTAGATTTTAAGAAGGAACTGAGGTCACTTAACAGAGAATTGCAGCTGCACATTTTGGAGCTGGCTGATATTCTTGTAGAGAGACCATCACAGTACGCAAGGAGAGTAGAAGATATATCTCTTATCTTCAAGAACTTGCATCATCTTCTCAACTCATTGCGTCCACATCAAGTAAGATAGTTTTGGGTCCTAGAATGCGCTGTATTGGTTTGTGTTTGAGGTACTTTATTTTGTAATGTATTTTATCATACAGGCTAGGGCAACGCTAATTCACATTCTAGAACTTCAGATACAACGTCGTAAACAAGCTGTGGAGGATATAAAGAGGTATGCTTTCAACAATTACTGAAAAGATTTGTGGTCTGAGGCTGAAATGTTTTGCTTTTTTTTTCCAAAACAGTTGAAAGAAATTTTCATTGTCCTTTGATCATTTAAATGAATAGCTTATTAGCATTTTATTTAGAGTAAAATTACTTGAATCTACTGGGCTATTATTTTGGTGCATTGTAGAAGTTGTTATAGAAAAACTCCCCTGTTCCTGTATGTGAGGCATCGAAATGTTGATTTTTAGTTTCTTTCAACTTTGAATTATGAGGTTAAAAGTAAACAGCGGTGTGTGCGTGGTCGGTGTAAGAGTTCGAATATGCATATAAATTCCTTAAATCTACTGGTACTGTGACTGTAATCAAACTGCCATGTGGATTGGATGTTACATAATTGCTTGTGACTATTTGCTTCACTTTCTTGTTTAGGAGGAGAGAAGAAGCACAGAGACTTCTCAAGGAGTCTATTGGAACGTTGGAGGACACCGGCGCATCTTTTGTGCTAAAGTAAGGGAGTGTGCTCATGTTCATCATGCCGCGGATTGAAGCCTCTTGGACAGTTGCATCTTAATACCTTCATCATGCTTTATGTATTAGAAAAATTATAGGTTCAATTGTCATTGTAATCAGAGTTAAAGCAATTTGATAGCGTGCATCATAGTGTTCTCTCTTGCTCTGAAATTCTTATTTACCAATTGGCAAAGAAGAAAACATAGTTTCGACAAAGTCAATAGATCATTACAAGAACCCTAGAATACACTAGCGGAACTAGGACAAAGGCTACAGTGGGCTGTAGCCTAGGGAGGTTTTTGGGGATAAACAAAAATCAAACCTATATATTTGCCTTATTTTAAATATATGGGGTATGTATTAACCTATTAAAATCCAAAACAAATCTAATTCCTTATGAATTTAGTTGCAGGGCAACAATAAAAGTACACATTAGAATAAGTATATTTTCAATTATGTTGTTGAACATATTTTCATTTTGACAATATGTGATTTTTGGTTGTATTTAATATATATTTGTTTTTATGTTAAAGCTTATTGGAAATTGTTAGGGGCTAGCTCCAATAGTTGAGACCATTTACAATTGCACTTGAGGTTCTTGGTTCGATTCCCCTACTCCAATATTGTTTATCACAAAAGAAACTTATTGAAAATAGTGAATGAAACTATGAACAAATGTTGTTTATATAATTTAATGTACACTTTTATTTTTTTTTAAATTATAGAAACTGTAAGTACATAAATTAATGATAATAAAATTTGTGGTTAATAACTTTAGCTAGCCCAATTCACCCGTTGAAAAACTCGTACTTCCGCTATTGCTAGAATATGTTCAATAAATGGATCTGTAGGAGAGGCGGCAAACAGGAAGATGAAAATGACGCACTATGGGATGGGACAGGTCCGTTTTTGATAAGCTTTAATCGATTATTGACATTAAAATGGTGAAACAGGTGGCGTCGGTATGAATATGGTGTAAGGTCTTGTCCATTCACAATGCGGACAGCGGACAAAAAATATAATTGCCCAATAGGAGAATACTAAACTAGTTATTAATTCGGTGATATTTTTCTTCGCATTATAGAGTTTATGTCAAACTTGAATTCGTGTATTGCAAATTACAAAAGATACGTGGTTTAAGTCAATTGATCAGGTAGTCTTTCGATCTTCTTGCACGTGAGTTAGATCATGTACAACATTGTATAAAAATTGATTGATGTCCTTGTTGGTAGGCCATGTATTAGACGTCATGTGTTAATGACTAGACCATTTTATACAACCTACTTTTCTTAATTTCCAACTTACATGGTGTAAGCATGCTTATATTGAATATTATGCATTGTAAACGTGTCGATGGGATGTGCTCCATCATATATGCGTGTTAGTTGAGAAATAATAGTTAGGAAGACAGTTGGGTAGCGTTTGTTTTGTAGGAGCAAAGGCTTGAAAGAAGAAAATAAATTTGGAATTTAGATAAAAGTCATGACTTCTGAATTGACATGCACCTACACTTTTGTTTGGATTCATTAAAATATATAAATTTAAAATATTTTTGTGAAAAAAATTTAGAATTTCGAAGTTATAAATTATAAATTATAAAATTAAATTTTATCTAAATAGTCGTCATTTTTTAAAGTTTAAGAGCTATAATTTTAAAAGAGAAAATAAAAATAAAACATATACCACATCTTTATATCACCACCACTTTATCATGAGTATCGCCATTGATTTTCAATTCTATATAAATAGTAATTATTTCTAAAATTTCAAGAGTGAAAGATTTAAAGATAAATAAAACAAAATCAATTATGTATCACATCGCCTATACCGCAATCACCACCGTCAGCACCTCCCCACAACAATTGCGGTTAACCATCTCATTAGCATTGCCGCGGTTGCTGCCACCGCACTCTTACCACACCACCACCTTACTACTAGTAGCACTAAAACCATCATTACACATGATGCCACCTCTACTGTCACTTGTCATTAATCCCTCCAAAAAGATAAGTTTTAAATTTCATTAGAGTTTTAATTTGCAAAGCATTAAATTCTTGATAAAATCCTCATTGCTATAAATATCTAATTACTTAATTAGTATAACACATGATCAGTCTTAATTAATTTTCTAAACTCTCCGTCTGTCTCTCTCAGTGAGGACACCTGGAGCCTTGACGACAAACGCCTAAGAAATAGAGACCTTTTAGTTGTCGGAAAATCAAAGAGTCGTTTAAGTTTTCCCGAGAAACAAACAGAAAACCCTAGCTTTGAAATTCTCGGGGCCATCGTCAATGGCGGTCTCAGAGGAAGAGTGTTCGTCTGCAAAGTCCCGATCATCGTCATCAGCCTCCTCCAGCAGCTCTCACTACCTCGCCAAGTGCGTCCTCCGAGGGAGCGTTGTTCTTCAGGTTCTCTATGGTCACATCCGCTTTCCCACTTCCTACGACGTCGTCTTCGGGAAGGTCATCTATCTCTCTCACTTTTCATGTTGTTCACCCACTTGCCTGCAGCTATTGTGAGCAGGAGGGTAATTTTGTTGGATTTAGAAACAAAGAGTACTGCTTTTGTGATCAAGCTCTTCTTATTTAATTGTAATTTTGTTGGAATTAGAAAAGAAAAGAACTGCTTTTGCTTGATATTAATCTTGCCTAAGCTCAGAAGTAAATAGCTTAATCTAACTGTTAATGGTTCGTGGCAAATTTGAAATTCAGGAGACTTCCATAGAGTTGGTCATAATTGGTGAAGATGGGATTGTACAGTCTATATGTGAGCAGCCTGTGTTTGGTACCATTAAAGACATTGCCATCCTACCCTCGAATGACAAATTCCGCACCCAAAACCCACAGGTTTCTCGTTTACTTGGAGAACCTTACAAATTTCTTTCTTCCTTTTTGTATTTCAAAAATTAACAAAGTTGTATTCATTGAAATAAGTTTATCTTCTCGTGGTAGATGCTGGGTAAAGACCTTTTGGTTGTTATTTCTGATTCTGGGAACCTCTCATTTCTCTCTTTTTGCAATGAAATGCACAGGTAAATATACGTTTTCTTGCTTTCTTCAACTTTTCGTTTTTGGTGTTACTTCTTGATGAACAGTGCAATAAAATAAAAAACCAGCTTTATGACAGTAAGCGTCTCCAATACCATGCAAAAGGTTTGTTTAGGATATGCACCAAGTATAATAATGGAACCTAACCATGCCTCCCAATTATATATTCCAAATTGTCAACACTGACAATCCACCCTTCTCTGCTGCTTGCTCTTATCATATTTGGAAATGTTTTACGTAGGTTTTTTCCTGTGACACAAGTTCAACTTTCTAACCCTGGAAATTCAAGGAATCAGCTTGGAAGAATGCTAGCCATTGATTCAAGGTAAGTCACCATTGTGGTTGAAACTTTTTGAAAAAAGGTTTTATAACTTAGTTTGGTTTAACATGTATTCCTTCTCCTCTCCTTTCAATTTCCATGATGAAATTACTTTGTACTTGCAATATAATCATTTGCTCTGTCGTGTCATGTCTTCTCATGTAATAGTTTAAAATCTTTAGCTAGTTGCTATGCACCCTGAACTAGTTCAGCCAATAAAGATATGCAAATTATTTGTTTACTAGATTTCTTGTTGTTTTCCTGGAAAACTTTAGGACATTGCTATAGAATATTAAATGTAATTTTACTTCTCTTGCATTAGATTCTGCAAACAATGTATGTTCTTGTGTGATAGAAAGTGTAACTTAAACATTGTCGAGTAAAAAAATTAAAATTAGTTTTTTTAGTAGTTAGGAGAGGGAGAAAATAAAAGTGGGTAAGAAAGAGGGAATATAAGGGGGAATTAGGTAAAGGACTGAAAGTTGAACTGAAAAGTGGAGCAGTGTAATATTTTTTGTTGTTAAATAAATGCTTTTTTTTATTTATAACCATTTTAATCCTGAATGTACCTCTTTTTCCCCCCTATCAAACAGCTGTGGGTATTCTGTGGAATAATTGTAAGCTTTGTTTTTTAGGAAGAAAGTTTAGTACATGGAGTAGAGCACAACTTCGCTTGTTCATATGTTTGCTTATTATATGTTTGTTCTTTTCTTATGCTCTAGTGCATGTGGTAGAGATTTCAGTGAAACATATATTCTCTGATAGGTATAGTCTATGCATAAACTCTTCCATACCACCTCAGCCGCATCAGGCCACTTCTTGGGATGGGAGTGACCCAGCCTACATGCATCATTTGATGAAAATAGTGCAGTCCATAAACTAATGAATATGTAAATAGAAGCTCTTGGCAGTCCAATTATTTTTTTGTAGTCCTAATTTCTATGTTTATGCTTTTACAGTGGCTGTTTCATTGCTGCTAGTGCTTATGAAAACCAGTTGGCTATGTTCTCTGTTTCAGTGTCTGGAGGCAGTGACGTTATTGATAAGGTTGAGCTGCGTTCCCTTCTTCTTATTATAGGTTTTACAGTATTGTATATTTTAGAGAAAATGACATGAATTTTGTTTGTATAGAAAAAGAACATATGAAGCTTCTTTATTTTCTTTTTGACCACAAATTTTTCATGCGAAGTTTTTCAGATGTTCTGTTGTCCAAATTTCAGAAAATAGTCTTCCCCCCTGAAAAAGAAGCAGATGCTAGTGCTGCCAGAGTTCAAAAAGACAGTATATGTGGTACTATATGGAGCATGAGCTTTATTTCAAAGGATCCTAGTCAATCAAGTAAGGGGCATAATCCTGTACTTGCCGTTCTTCTAAATAGGTATGATTGTCATGTGTGTTAGGGGTAAAAAAATGCGCTTTCAATTGTTTACATGGTTTGAAGATAGAAGTCATTTTCGCATTCTGATTACTCTATATACAATGGGAAAATTTTGGCATTGCAGGAGGGGGGCAGTCCTTAATGAATTGCTGTTACTGGGATGGAATATTAGTGAACAGGAAATTTATGTGATTTCTACGTATACTGAAGATGGACCGTTAGCACATAGTATTGTTGAAGTTCCTCATTCTTATGGATTTGCTTTTATGTTTAGGGAGGGTGATGCTCTCCTAATGGATCTTAGAGATGCACAGATCCCATATTGTGTCCACAAAACAAGCCCAAATTTCTTATCCAATGTGGTTGATGAGGCAAATTTTGTTCAAGAGTCATCTAGAGGATGTGATCTATCTAGAGTACTTCAGGTTGATGATGAAGGAGGTTTATTTAATGTAGCTGCATGTGCTTTACTAGAACTAAGCGATTTAGATCCAATGTGTATAGATGGTGACAAATACAATGTGAATGTGACTTACAAACATGTGTGTTCATGGAGTTGGGAACCGGGAAACGCTAAAAATCCCAGAATGATCATTTGTGCAGATACAGGAGAATATTTCATGATTGAAATTATCTTTGGTCCTGATGGACTTAAGGTTCAAGAATCTGAGTGTCTTTACAAAGGTTTACCCTGCAAGGCAGTTTTGTGGGTTGAAGGCGGGTTTCTGGCTGCAATAGTAGAGATGGGAGACGGGATGGTATTGAAAATGGAAAATGGGGGACTTCTTTATGCAAGTCCTATTCAAAATATTGCCCCAGTATTGGATATGTCAGTTGTGGATTACCATGATGAAAAACATGATCAAATGTTTGCCTGTTGCGGAGTGGCACCGGAGGGGTCACTAAGGATTATTAGAAATGGTATAAGTGTGGAAAAGCTACTGAGGACTGCACCTATATATCAAGGGATTACTGGTACTTGGACATTACGAATGAAAGTAATTGATTCTTACCATTCTTTTCTTGTGCTATCATTTGTTGAGGAGACCAGAGTATTATCAGTTGGTTTAAGCTTTACTGATGTGACGGATTCAGTTGGTTTTCAGCCTGACGTTTCTACTTTGGCCTCCGGTGTTGTAAATGATGGATTGCTGATTCAGATTCACAAAAGTGCAGTTAGGCTCTGTTTACCCACCAAGGCTGCCCATTCTGAAGGTATTCCACTGCCTTCTCCGGTTTGCACATCTTGGTTCCCAGAAAATATGAGTATCAGTTTGGGGGCTGTTGGACATAATCTAATTGTTGTTTCTTCGTCTAATCCATGCTTTTTATTCATTCTTGGGGTTAGATTGCTTTCGGCGCATCATTATGAAATATATGAAATGCAACATTTGAGATTGCAAAATGAATTATCGTGTGTTTCCATTCCTCAGAAACGTTTTGAGGGAACCAGTCTGGTGGATAATAGCTGTGCTGCCACCCTTCCATTTGGAGTTGACATCAGTAATATCTTTGTTATTGGCACGCACAAGCCTTCAGTGGAAGTTTTGTCTCTTGTGCCTAATGAAGGACTGAGAGTTCTTGCTTCTGGGACGATCTCGTTAACAAATACTTTGGGAACTGCTATTAGTGGCTGCATTCCTCAAGATGTAAGGCTTGTATTAGTGGACCGATTGTATGTCCTTTCGGGATTGAGGAATGGAATGCTGCTTCGTTTCGAATGGCCTGCTTCCCCAACAATGCCTGTTGGATCTCTTTCAGTTAATACAAATACTGTTTTTCCATCAACAGGAAATTCGTTTGGCCCGAAAATATATGATGTTAAGTTCTCTGAGAAGACAAAAGACAGATTTCCTATTGAACTTCAGTTGATTGCTACACGTCGGATTGGCATCACCCCTGTTTTCTTGGTTCCTTTGAGTGACTCACTAGATGGTGATATAGTTGTTCTCAGTGATAGGCCTTGGTTGTTGCATACTGCAAGGCACAGCCTCTCATATACTTCTATCTCATTTCAATCTTCGACGCATGTGACTCCTGTATGTTATGTGGAATGCCCTAAGGGAATTTTATTTGTTGCAGAAAACTGTCTACATTTGGTAAAAGTTCTACTCCATATTGTTATTTGCTCTTGTTGGTCTATGTATTTCATTTTGTTGAATCTAGTTTTATCAATATGTTTTTGTTTGATTCTAGTTCTACTCTTGTCAGCTTGTAATTATGCCTTCAATCTATGAAGTGTATGGAGCCTTGTGCAAAAAGGTTTATCTTGAGTATATTACCATATTAACTGCAGCTAATTTTTCTATATAGTTTAGATTTAATTTTCACAGAACTGGGATTTCTAGATTTTCATGGAATTTCTATTTTCTTTTCATTTTGGAACTGTGGATGTTTGTGTCCATTTGATGGTATTTTCGAGGTTTTGAATAAATATACTTATTTTCATTCTTAATCACTATTGTCTTTCAGAACGTAGGACTATGGGAATTATGTTCCAGTTAAAAAATTTGTTCTATGCTATTATATGATTAGAATTAGACAGATGTTCATGCATTTCCACAGATGTCCTAGCAGGCTAGATGTTCCTATATGATTGTTGGAGCAAAAGGTTGATGGTTTGTATATCCCATTGAATGTATTGTCAGTAAATGGAATTTCACTTGCGCTCAATGTCTTTGCCTTGTTAAATAAAAGAGATATTCCCTGACAATATTTGGAACAAGATTGATGAGTATAACTGGCCGAATCTGTGAAGTTGATTAGCTTCTAATGTTTTGATACTGAATTTATTAAAGAATGATAAGGTGTAGTAAATAAACTAACACTTCCCTAGAAAATCTTATCATAGTTGCTGAGGTCATTTGGCATTGTCCAAGGACATTTGACTGAGTTATGCCTTAACCAAGGTTGGGTAGAGTTTGGGACCTCCCAATGCATAGGAATTGCAAGTCTTTGTATTTTCAAATTACGCTTGTGTGTATGCATATGTGAGTGAGTGCTTGCTTGTGAGCTTAAAAGCTTGTGAGTCTATGGGGCTCATGTTTGTAATGTTTTTTTTTCCTTAATTTTTTTTACTAAATTATCTTGAAGTTGGATATATTGATTCTAGTTAATGTTATATGATGATTCTAGGTAGAGATGGTGCATAGCAAGAGGCTTAATGTGCAGAAGTTTCATCTTGGAGGCACTCCGAGGGAGGTCCTTTATCATAGTGAAAGCAGGCTATTGCTTGTGATGAGGACTGATTTGAGTAATGATACATCTTCATCCGATATATGCTGTGTAGATCCTCTTAGTGGGTCAGTGCTGTCATCTTTCAAACTTGAACCCGGTGAAACAGGGAAATCCATGGAGTTAGTGAGGGTTGGAAATGAACAGGTTCTTGTGGTTGGGACGAGTTTATCTTCTGGTCCAGCCATAATGCCTAGTGGTGAGGCTGAGAGGTAAAGCATGTGTCCTTATTTCTCTCTCTTCCTCAGAGTTTAAAAGGTTCAGTTGTAAATGGAAGTTTTTCAGGGTCTTCAATGTTAAATAATTTCCAGGCATTGTGTCAATGTGTAAATGTTTGAGGGTCATTCTCAATTCCTTTTGTTTGATAGGCATGCATTCTAACTGGATTCTTGTTAACAGTACCAAGGGACGTCTTATTGTTCTCTGTCTTGAACATGTGCAAAATTCAGACAGTGGCTCAATGACATTGTGCTCAAAGGCAGGGTCATCTTCTCAACGAGCATCTCCATTTCATGAAATTGTTGGGTATGCTACAGAACAGCTTTCAAGCAGTAGTCTTTGCAGTAGCCCAGATGATACGAGCTGTGATGGAATTAAACTTGAAGAAACTGAAGCATGGCAGTTTCGATTGGCTTATGTAACCAAATGGCCTGGGATGGTGCTTGCAATCTGTCCTTATCTTGATCGTTACTTCTTGGCGTCTTCTGGTAATGCTGTAAGTGGCAAACTTCTTTTTTTCTTATTCTTTCTTCTTTCTTTTCCCTATATATTGTTCTATATGCGTGTTTTAAAGTTTTGTAGTTGGAAGATAAGGTTAATCTGGTTTATTGCATGACAACTGTTGATGAATATATTGGTCTTCTTTTCTCAGTTTTATGTATGCGGGTTTCCAAATGACAATTCCCAAAGAGTGAGAAAGTTTGCTTGGGCAAGGACACGTTTTATGATTACGTCTTTGACTGCACATTTCACTACAATTGCTGTTGGTGATTGTCGTGATGGTGTCCTTTTCTATGCTTATCATGAGGTAAGCATTATCACTCTCTCCTCTCTCTACTTTTGTTGTTTATTTTTCTTTGTCTAAGTAACTTTTACATTAGAAGTTACGATATGGTCACACCTTGTACTTTGTATTATTTGTCCTGATATTGTTTGCTTTTCTTTCTTGTGTGGAAGGATTCCAAAAAGCTGCAGCAACTGTACTTTGATCCATGTCAGAGATTAGTTGCTGATTGCATTCTTATGGATGTCAATACTGCTGTTGTTTCAGATCGTAAGGGAAGCATTGCTGTTCTTTCTTGTGCAGATTATTTAGAAGGTAAAAGATTAAATTTCCTGTGAAATTGTAAATCAATGTCTGCAAATCTTTTTGTCTTCCAGCTTAAGTCCTGTAAAACCCAGTTGAGGGTTGGAACAGAAGCAGCAGGATGTGCAACTCAGAAATTGCTTATAGAGATTAACATTGGACTATCTGTGTATTTGCTTTAAATATGAAGAGAAATTGATTGTCTTTTGGAAGTATGATTTTTTAGCTGATACCAATTTGTATAGCATTCAAAATGATTGTCTTGTTTGACTACAATGTGCAAGTTGATTTGGTCAGAAATATAGAAATTTTGTGAAACACAAAAGGAAGAAACTAATATCAGATATATTATTTCACAACTTATTTGTTATTGACACGAAGCTTGTAACATAGTCAAATGCATTTTCCTTATCACGATGTTGGGAAAACATTGCTAATGTGGTACTTGCTTGTCAGGAACAGATTCTATGATTTAAATCATTATAGAGAAATGCTCCACTGCAATTGGCATGATGGTGAAGTAGAAATTTATTTTGTGGGAAACTGAGTTTTTTGTTTTACAAATGGTTTTTTATATTTCAGACAGCCTTAAATTAAATGCTAATGAGCCTACACTACTTCATAAATTTCGTGCTGTTTAATGTCAAGATAGTGTTATCAATGTATGGTGGTGGTGGATTCTTGACAGACAAATAATGGTGGTAGTCAAATTTATTGATACCTTCATATTGTTCGGTTTCTATCATTTTTTCTTCAGACCCTGTTCATGCTCTATGCTTCGTCTGGAAGTGGTACCGTTTTAACTTTTTTCTTCGTACAATTCTGTGTACCAGATACCGCAAGTCCAGAATGTAATTTAACAGTGAGCTGTGCTTATTATATGGGCGAGATAGCTATGAGCATCAGGAAGGTAAATCTTTACTCTCTGTCTTCTTAGCTACTGGATTATAGCCTTTAAACGTTCGAAGTTCAAATTGTTAATGCCTAAAGTAACTGAAGGAATTGAATTTAGGTATACCTATCTGGAGTTGACACATAATGATGATGCGGAAAAATTAGGAAGAAAGCAAAAAGAGGGAAATAGAGGGAGAGGAGAGAGAGAGAGAACAAGAGGAATGAAGATAGGATTTCAATCTTTAATATCAATCCTGGTATTAAAAAATCTGTAATTTCACTCCAATATTCAAGTCTGCTTTTGTAGGTTGCAATCAGCCGTACTTGGAGCCCCAATGAGGAAATAAAGCCAACAAGAAACCTTTCTAGTAAATAGGAAAGCAAACCCTAATAGTTATTGACTCCTTTTTTTTTTCCTCAAAATAAGTGAAAGAGATCCTGATTAAAAAGCAGTCCTTACAAGGTTAATTTGCTCCTGCTAGATATTAATTTTCATGACTCATGAGTATATAAAAGACTAACATAAATGGGCTGTAACTTACAAGCAACATTCACCAAGACCAACTTTTTTCTTTTGTTAATGAATGAAAGTAATAATATACATCATGAATTTAACAGTTTGGTACAAAAGTGCGTACATAAGTGGATGCTTGCAATATAGAAATGATGAAATGTCCATGAGAGCGTGATAACTTGATATTAATAGATTAGAAAATATACTTTCAGAAACTATTTCTATTGCTCGTTGCCGAACTTCTGGTTCTTAAAGTATCTTATAAATTGTTGTGAAATGTCTTGATGCTTACCTTGTGGTTACATTAATAATTTTCTTTCTAGGGATCATTTTCATATAAACTTCCAGCTGATGATGTATTGAAGGGTAGTGATGGAAATATCGACTTCTCTCAAAACGCCATCATTGTGAGTACACTGCTTGGAAGCATAATAACCTTCGTGCCAATATCAAGGTATGCAAAATAGCCTTAATTCCCTTTTACTAACCTTTTCAAAAAAGTTGCACCATCATGCTTTTAGACCTGGCGTCAAATAAAAGGCGTCAGACATCCTAGAGATGCATCTAAAGTCTTTATGTGCTATTATAGCCTACACATAGTGGTAGATCATTTGAGCAAGTAAGCTTGGCTCACCACCAATTTCCGGGGATTTAGCCTGTGTTTTTATAACTCGTTTTACCATTAACATAGTGAAGCTGCCTCTGGAAAGACATAATTTTTTTTGAAGAAAATGTCTGTTAGTTTGTTGAGCTAGGTGAGGCAATGAAAAATATAAGAATCCTGACTTTTGTAGTTAAGGTACTAATCATCTATACCCTCCTAAAGTGAAAGTCTCTAGTCACCATAAACCAATATGCATTATGCATCTTGTCTTTATTGGTTCCCCCAGCCACAGATGCACTGAAGTTTCTATGGTTACTTCTACAAATGTTCAATGTTCTTCTTAATAGTAGATGGTCAATGTGTGTCTTTTTATTGTAAATCTTGATTGGAATTTAACATCATGCTTAATAGATATCTATTTTATTTTATTTTATTTTACTAAAATATTTATTTATGTTTTCCAGGGAAGAATATGAACTCTTAGAAGCTGTCCAAGATAGACTAGTGGTGCATCCATTAACTGCTCCTATTCTTGGGAATGATCATAATGAGTATCGTAGTCGTGAAAATCCGGTAAGAACTGTGGGATCTCGTAAATCTTTTCCTATTACTGGCATGCTTACTTGTGCATGAACACTATTACTATGCATAAAATATGTCATGTTATTTATCTTTTGGATATATTTTTCCTGTCATCTTTTTCCCTTTTGCCTTTGGAGTTTGTTACGGGGGTAAACCATGAATGTGTTGCTATTTCTATTAGTGCTTAAAGTGATTGGGTTGACAAAGAAATTGGTCGATGCCAGCATCCAAATTTAATCAGATTAGATTCATTTAGTATAATACACGGTTGACAGTTCGATTTAGAATCTGATTCTTAAAATTGATTACAACTGATTGAGAAAATTGTTTCCAACAGAAACCTTAATAAATTTGGTGGTTTGGTTTTCATTCTAATGTGCCTTTGATTAGCTGGAGAGATGAGTATGAGAGTAAGAAATAAAAAAAGAATACTGCTACATCATACGTAGTTTCATTTTGAAATATGGGGTGCATCAGATGTTATTGTATGTAAAGATGAATATTTTATGTTGTTATCATGCCACTCTGTGCATGAGTGATGCGGGTGTGAGCATGTGTGTATTATTTGTTGATGCAGGTAGGAGTACCTAAGATACTTGATGGTGACATGCTCTCTCAATTCTTGGAGCTGACTGGTATGCAACAAGAGGCAGTATTATCATCACCTCTTGGGGCACAAGGCACTGTAAAGCCCGGTTTGAAATCACGATATGCGCTAATCCCTGTTAATCAGGTTGTGCAGCTCCTTGAGCGGGTTCACTATGCCCTAAACTAAATATTTATTTTCTTTCAATCATGATCTGGAGATGGGCTTTCAAGTCTCCACGGAGGAAGCATCTGATGCCAATTATCTTTAGTTGTACCTCCTTTTTGCCTGGACAAGTGAATGGCAACTGTGCACATTTGAGTGTGCACGACCTTGTTGCGAATCTCAACTCTCAACTGTTAATACCATGGAGCTAACGATCATACTGATGAAGCGTATCTTAGATTCACATTCTTTCATCAAATTCAAAGAGCGGGGCAAAAAGTGCGCAACATGGATAAATTTGCCTGTCATTTTATGTAACATATCTTGCATTGTTCCTTGTATTGTAGAATTGGGTTATACGTATAATACGCGGAGAAACAGATGAGAGAGTTCATTCTGTATATTAGATAAATGTGCCTGTTCTTCTGTGGCTGCAGAAGCATAAAGCAATTAATGTAACATTTTGCTTACGGCTGGACTCATTTTTTTTAATGAAGTGCCTTTTACATCTGTATGTCAAAGCTTTCCTGAAAAAAGTATTTATCTGGTGCCATTTACCTAAGTACGTTATAAAAAGTAATTTTAGTTATAAAGTACTCCCAAATAGATCCCAATTAAACAAGACCCGAACGTATTCCTCCCAACTAGAAAGGAAGGCTGAAAGCCGCATCGAGCTACCACCTAAACCATTCCTATCCACCACAAGAGATGAGAAGACATAAAAAACCAAAAAGATCGTCTCATCAGGATGATCTTTTAGCCCTGCTGACCATGGACGTTCACATTAAGATCCTTAACCCTAGTGACCCATTTTAGTGCTCGAACTGATTAAGGCTTCGCTTTAGTGCGTAGATCTCGGATGCAAAGGATGCTATATGTCCAACTGATCTAACACTCACATATACTCGTGCATGAAACATTATCCTTAGAATATCTTAACCTTACTCCGGAAATTATTGTCAGTTTTTGGCTCAAAGAGCAATTTACTTGACTTGCTTGAAGATCTTTGATTATAAACTCCCTTTAGAAGAAAGTCCTCTCTCTTTGCCCCTACTTAATACCATATACAAACAAAGTTAGTTGTTGTTGTGTAATTTCCATATCCAAACAATATTTTCCGTATAGTCAGTCAGATGAGTTCGATAGCTGATTCCCAGAAGAAAAGGTTATCGAAAATAGAAAAAGATTGGTACATCTTCAAGTGGATTAGTGATGATTACTTGTACAGTACAGGGCATGGGACAAGAAGTGAATTGTAGATCTATCATTTTCGATCGAAAAAACTGAAAGGCAAAGACACTTCAAAACCCTAATAAGCAGTAAAATTCCAAGCACTTTGAAGAAACATCCTTGCATATGAAGCGTGCATGCATACTCTTAACAATCTCCAGATTTCAAAGTCTTAAAGTTGTTGGGAAATACATGTAATCAATGTATATCAAGCTTACACCCTTATCGCGCCACATGCAACTCCAAACAGCTACAGAGGTGGACATGTGCAGGTCAACCATGCACATTGCAACCTAGCAAAGAAGTCTGGATTGTGATTTGAATGTTTCGTATACTTGGGGCATTTGCAAACCATAACTCTAATCATATCCCCAAAAAAATTTGATTGTTATAGAAATTCGAACAAGAATAATAACTGAGTACATGAGCGATGTTATTGTGAAAAGAAAGTTGTATACTTTGCGGTATACAATAAGTTTTCACTGCTAGTCTTTTCTTTTGATGTTTTTGGGTGTTAGGGAAATGAATCGAATCATTGAGCTAACTTAATTCTAATCAATTTTCTCACTCATTCTCACCGCTTGGAGTAATTTTTTAGTCAGACTGTAACACAGTTATTTAGTTTTACAAAATTCTCCACTCCGTTTGGTTCAAGGTTTAGGAGTTTGGTAATGGGTTTCAAATTGCATTCCCATGTTTGATAAGTGCACTCTTGAATGTAATTATGGACTTATAGAATGGACTTCCCATGTAGTGCGGAATTTCATATCCTTAGCTCACCTTGGGAAACTTTTTTCCCCCACTTGGAAAAGCATTTAATGCAGCTCTTTTTGCACTAGCTTACCCATCTATATATTTTTTAAATACCGCTTTTGATCCTTAAAAAACTCTTCTATTAATAACTTTTAATAATAATAAATCAAGGATATTGTTGGAAAACTAAACAACTTTTCATTCCTAATACTGCACTAGCCAAACATGAGAATGCGATAAAATGTCATTTCATAGTCCTCATTTCTCAGCATTCCCAAACATGGGAACGAATATCCTCCATTCCCATCTCTTAGAATTATTAGACATGAAAAGTTTATTCTAAGAAGTATTTTTCATTGTTAACCTTTTAAGAAGTATTTGGGTGGGTTGGACTAAATTTGGTTTGACCTTGTAAGTTGAAACCAAAAAAGAATTTGGTCTAACGAAACGAAGACTCGATGTGAAAATAAAAGCTAGTAGAAGAGGAAGAGCCTTTTGTGCCTAAACCGACAGTATCAACATTCATCATTGAACTCAAAAAAGCACATGCATACAATACAACTACCACAAAAACAACAATAAATTCAAGGACGGCAAATTTGTTGAATTGCATTTACGCAGCTTTTATTTTGTCTATAAGAATTCAAATACCCAACTGCACTGATGTCGTGCCTAGCAACAACTCAGAAAAGAGACCCTCCTTCCTTTACAATTTTATCATACCGAATACAAGTATCCTCCTCATCAAATTGAAACACAAAAGGCCCACCTGCACCAGAAGGCAGTTGGGAAGGTGGATATGCATGGGATGGCTAAAACTTAAAAGCAAGGACTGTGTTGGTTGGGTTTGCTGCATCGTTTAGATAAGCAAAAAACCCACAAGACAAGAGAATGAAATAGAATTACGTTCAAATCTTAGCTGGGAAGTTTTAAAATTGATTTCAGCTTAACTATTGACAACTGAACATATGGAAATTAAGAGACAACGTAACATCACATATTTAGACAAAGAATAATATTGATTGATTCGACATAACGTTTGAATGTCTCATTTTAATTCGCAGTTTGAAAATATAACATATTTGCATGTATATTCATTGAAATTGAACATCAACATATGCTAATACCTAGTATTGTTTGAGTAGAATTACATTTTAATGTGGCATATATATTAGGCTTATTTATACCAATGCCCCCGAAACTACGGTCAAATCTCACTTTACCCTCCAAACTTAAAGTGGCTATCGTCAATTCCATTCAAAACTCTGTTAAATCTAATGACGTGGCAGGGGTAGTTTTGTAAGTTTGTACACATGGATCATTATCCACCAATTAGGTAGGTGATGTGGCAAGTAGAGCCTACCTCCAAATAGATAAAAACATAATAAAATATTCTAATATTTAAAAAGAACTACAAATTAAAATAAATCAGAAAAAAAAAATCAAATATTTAAAAATCCTCCATCATCAGCATCATCATCTCTACAGCACCATCCCTCCATCATCATCTCTACAGCACCAAAAACACCATCCCTCCAGCTCATAAACCCACAAATTACCTTGCTGGAACGGAGGATCTGAGAGATAGAAAATCCAGAAAAAAAGAAAAAAATCCTCAGTGGTTTCTAAATGATATCCTTGGAGCTCTAGTTTTTGTAGTCTTAATTATCCAATTCTCTCTTTATGTACAAGCTCGGCAGTTACTAGTTTCTTTAGAGGAATTTTAATCAAAGATGATCAAGTTAGCTATTTTTTCTCCACCCAAACGAATTTACAGTCTTACGTCATGAGACTTTTTGACAAGAGACTTTTTGGTGTTTGCTTTTGTCTAAAATTGGAAAGGAGGTTCCAACTTCAAACCATGATGGAGGTTTTTTAATTATTTGAATTTTTTTCTTTTAAAATTTTAGTTATTTTTAAAAATTAGAATATTTAATTATATTTTTATTTATGTGAAGTTGGGCTCCACTTGCCACATCACCCACCCAATTGGTGAATAATGATCCATATGTATGAAATTACAAAAAACCCCTGACACATCATCAAATTTATCAGACTTTAGATGTAGTTGATAGTAGGTCACCAAACTTTGGTTAAGCGGAAAAAGTGGGCCACTTTAAGGTTGGGGAGACAAAGTGAAATTTGATCGTAGTTTTAGTGACTAATATATTATGTCCAGTGGCAGTTCTACAACAAGGGCAGGGTAGGCAACTGCCTATCCAAATTTTTTCACAAAAAAAACCTAAATAATGTAAGCAAAGTTATTCCTACCCATCCTATGTAAATTGTAATGGTGTGAACCCATGCCTACCCAAACTTAAGAGCAACCCACATATTATATGGCCCAGTCAAACTTAAAAAAAGAAAAGGGGGGGAAGCAATATAAGTAAGCAGCCAATTCCCTTTCGACTGTGCAATTAGTCGACAGTCCCAAATCATTATCTTTTGCAGCTTCTTCTTGAGTCTGGACATTCTCTCTTGGTAACATTTTCTCATATCTAAGGCCAATAAGTATTCTTCTATTGGGTTTTTCCTAAAATAAATGTATGCATCTTAAGTTTTTTAATAGTTTAATTTAGTTTTAGATTTAAATGGTTTAGTTTTTTGTTGCATTGCATTAATTTGTTTTTTTAGTTGTTTTTTTGTTAAGTTTTTATATGTGAGGGTAAATCTCATTACGCTCTCCCCGACTAGGTGTATTTTTTTATTTTTATGAATGAAATTCATTTGTACCGTCGAGTTTTTAAGGTAAGTTTCGCCTACCTGACTCTTGAATCTTGGATCTGCCACTGATTACGCCTGTATACATATGCATAAGAAAAAGACGAACATTACCGGTCATGAACGAATGTAGCAATTGCATTCATGCAACCAAAAAAATTACAGCACGCCACTTTTCTGCAGTTTTTTCATGTGCTGTTGGAAGGAACTTTCAACTTATTTATGTACATATTTATATCTTTTTCCATAACGTGACTGATATGTTCAGTCCATGATCAATGTTCTCTCTATCTCTCTCGAGCCACCTAGTGATATAGAAAAGACCTATTTATACAAACCACATCCATCCACAACACAACCCAAATCCAGAAGTTGAGAAATCTAGTTTCTAATAAATGGAAGCCCTATGCCATGGAGGAGGCATTGTCCAAGCCCTAAACACTCATGTGTATGGAAATGGCAGCCAGACTTTGGTTCTGGCTCATGGGTTTGGTTCAGACCAAACAGTTTGGCACTTCCTCATTCCCTTTCTTGCATGCTATTTCAAGGTTGTGGTTTTCGACTTGATTTTCTCACCAAATGTTGATCCAAAACTCTATGACCCCGGAAGGTACGACTCAAATTTTGGTGCCTACGCAGAGGACTTGCTGTGCCTTCTTGATCATCTCAAAGTCAATAAGACTGTATATCTGGGCCACTCCATGTCTGCCATGGTTGGATGTATCGCTTCTATTCAAAGACCACACCTGTTTCAGCACCTTATCCTGCTAGGTGGCTCTCCCAGGTCATGATGCATCTCTCTCTCTCTCTCTCTCTCTCTCTCTCTCTCTCCACACACACACACACACACACAAAATTTGGCATAGAACCCTGCTTGCCCTATCTCTGATGAGTAGCAAATCACAGTAGGAGCCAAGTACTTCTTTGGAGTAACTGACAATATGCAATCTTTGCCATTGACTTTTGGAAAGTCAATCCTGGTTTGGTATGCTGCTTTTCAAAAAAGTACTTTAGCATACTATATACTCTTTAAAAGCTCATGTTTTACTATGATATAATCCACTTTTATATTTGTTTTTCGTTTAAATAATATGTGATTAGTAAATATGGTACATGTAGACAATATCAGAATTTGTCGTTCACTCAATTTTGTGTTGATTTTGTTTGTAGATACCTCAACACAACAAGATACAATGGGGGCTTTACCAGAGCACAACTCGATGCATTCTTCAACCAAATCGATCAGAATTTCTCAAATTGGGTTCTAAGTTTTGCTCCAATAGCAGTAGGTGTAGAAGACACAAGTGCCATAGCCGAGTTCGAAAACAGTTTGGGAAGAATGACACCCAAGATTGCAGTGACTTGCTAGAACTGTGTTTCTAAGCGACCTCAGAAGAATTTTGCCACAAGTTGTGGTGCCAAGTAGCATAATCCAATCCAGGAAAGATTTTATTGTTCCAAAAACGGTTGCGTTTTACATGAAGAAAAGGCTTGGTGGTCCTGCCAGAGTTAAGATACTAAATACAGAAGGCCATTTTCCCCAGTTGACAGTTTACCCTTTGCTCTTAAAAGTTTTGAAAAGGTTTCTTCACATCAAATAGACACATGGTGGTGTTCTTAACTAATCATTGGGAGTACCTACAGAAAATTGAAAAAAATAAAAAAACGATCCTTGCAAGTCACCTTTATTGCAAATTATTGCCTCCCTGAAATGTTATTTTCAAGAATAATTTTCATTTTACTACGAAAATTTATCGACTTTCAACCACTTAACAATAAGATCATATTATGGAGTTCAATTTATTTTTCTAATTAATTTATCGTTCCTAAGTTAATATTTCAGAGTAGATTAATTATTAGGATGGAAGCTGGTCGCACTCCCAAGTAGGTTGAAAAAGAGATAAATTGTTCAATTAGATTGTTTAAAAAGAAATTGGTCTGATATCGAGAATTTTCATAATAGAGAGAATCTTACAATTCTCAAGGATACAAAATAGAGCAAAAAAGCATTGCAATTTCACTAGAATATCTGTACTGAACTGAAGAATTCTATTAACTTACAATTCCCAAGAATACAAAAGAGAGCAAAACTCCACCCCCGGTGGAAAACCAATTTCACAGTTTCAGGGTAATAAATATAACAAGAACGGCGATCCTACGTAAATCTTACATCATCGTCTGTTATTTCTGACAATGATCAAGGGTACCTTCTCCATCTTTACAATGGTACCCTTCCACATCCTGCCATATAGCCTCCTCAAAAAGCTGAAACAGCATTGCAAGTGTGGTTGTGGAGACAGTGGTGTCATGATGGCGATAAACTGACAATAACCTCGTTTCTCTTGTACAAGGTTGACAAATAAATTTGGGTAGCAATCTGAATCAGGAAACTTGTCTCCTTCATGTGAGAGGAACAATTGATATCAAGCCACAGAAGTCACATAATCCATTGCCTTCTGTTTCACATATTCGATCTTCTCTTCATCACCATGAGACTTCTCATACTGCAGATACTTATTGAATAAGAACTGCAAAACCATACATGAAGCACCAATATAAGGTATAACAGAAAATACAACGGCAAAACATTCTCAGTTAAAGGAATATGATTGTACACACTTTCATCTTTTTTGCTGGGAGGCTCAAACTAGTTGCCCGCTCAAATAGTGCATGTATCAGATCACTATCTCCAAGTCGAATTTCCTGCCACAGTTGATACAAAAGAGTAGGTAACTACTGTCTTGAATTTGAGAAAGTAAAAGAAATAATACTGAAATGCTGGTAAAAGGAGATTTACTTGATCAAGATAGACGCTCCACAAGTCTGTTCTCTTTGGATTATTCCGCAAAATATTTTCAAACATGGATCGCCCTCTCTCTGGATTTCCACATTTAAACTCAAGGATGGCTGTCTGTGAATTGAATTTGATATGTTTATGCTTGGGAAGGACTTTTTCAGCCTGACTGACAACATCCTGAATCCCATCCCGCTGTTGTGTCAAGAGCATCTGGACCCGCCTTAGCCAAACCTAAATTTCCATTAAATTTAGTGTTTATAAATTAACTGAGCGTTTGAACATCTACACAACGCACACACGCAATAGGAGAGCACAAATATAGGAGATAATAATATACCTTGCAAGACTTCTTGAACTTCTTGATCATTTTATCAAATAGCTCATCAGCCAACCTGTGTTGCTCAGTCCTTTCATACACTCCTAAGAGTGCTAGATGAACCTTTTTGGGATCATTGTATTGCACTGCTCTTTGGAAGACTTTCATTACAGCCTCCTGAAAAATGAAAAACAGATTAAAGGACTTCATATCAACGTTAAAAAGACAAGGAGACCTTTTACTAGTTTTATTACCTCTGGAGGACTTCCATATTTGTTTTCCAAATTAAAATAGGCCACCCAAATATTGAGCTTCTCATTCTCTTCTCGGAAGTTTATTGTTCGCAAAGCCCTTGACAGAAAAAGAGAGCTACATTTAGTCGAAATTATGTAAATAAGGGTTATCCTAGTATAACATGCATGCACGTCGACACACACATGAGAGAACCGGAAAAAGCTATAAGCACCATAAATGGACTTCTCGGTTCAGCATAAGTGTCTATGGTACTCCAAACAGAAACCTTATTCTTACAATAATTCAAATCACAACCTTCAAGTTCCTCAAAACTTTAGTGCAATTAAATCAGTTGTTCCTCTTAACCCTCTTGTTCCATACCCTAAAACAAGTTTTGAAACCCTATACCTCACTACCAAACATATATTACATGGAAATCTGTATAACATTTCAAGAGAGAGAGACTCAGGTCAAGTAGCATTATATGTTTAAACGATTATGCCAGCAGCACATCATTGTCATAGTAGCAAATTAGCAACAAGTATTTTTGCTAAGGAGTACCTTTCGGCAATAGAGCGTGCCTTCTCAACATTAGCTGTAGAGAGAACAAATTCCATATACTTTATCCAAACATAACTGCTATTTGGAGAGCTTCTAACTAGTTTCTCATACTCCTCATCAGTTCTTGGTATATCTTTCTCCAATAGTCTTTCCTCGGCAGCCCTTATCTCATGCTCCCTGCACAAAATTGTTTCCAAATTAAAAACAAAAGGGTAAGAGGGGAGTGAGTTGACAACCTTAGACAAAGAAACAAGAGCCAAAGACAAATTAGTACAAAACTAACCTTTCTTCCTTAGCTTTTTTCTTTGTAAGCCGCTTTTTCTTTTCATTTACAGTGTCCACATCAGGATGTTCTTGATCTTGACTAACAATATTATCACCGTTGAATTGGTCTATGTCATCAAGAGTGACTTCAAGAGGAGGAACAGAAGCTCTTGATTCTGCTTGTGCAAGAAACTGGGGCTCTGCATTTTCATATTCAACATCCATGTTCTGGGTACAAAACGAACTGCTTCCAGGAAACATTGCAGACAAACTACCATCCGTTATGCCATTTTCTATAATGTCTTCATCGGGATCTTGTTCTGAAGACGTTTGAAGGTCATTATCTTCCATGATATATACATCCTTCATCCCAAGAGAAATTCGGTGCCTATCTTTGTCCACCTGATAAATAAAGTTGAATAATTAACATGACAATTGTCATGAATGCATAACACAACCCTAAAATTACCACATTGAAATTATTAAAATGAAATATGATAACATGCATCTTTTTATGGGAGACAGTACCTTTTTTTTTATTTAAGGAAATGTGTAAACAGCACAAACAGAGTGAACCAGATATTCTCATCACGTTCTGTGTTATGCAGTTAAACAGATCCCACAAATTGCAAAAAAATAAAATGCCACAGTAATTGGGTTTTAGTGGCTAACTATACATTTCCAACCTATTCTACTATTGAAACATCAAGAACCCCAAGAGGATGCAAGAGTGAGGAATGTGCTCCAACCATAACAGACAATAATACCTTCAATACTTTTGCTGTCACCCTCTCTCCTGTTCTGTACTTGGTTTCAATATTCTCTACTTTATCTTCTGAAAGCTCTGACACATGGCATAGTCCAACCTAAGCACAAAAGCAAAATACTTGAAATCATTTCAGCGAAAACTGATTCATGAATTATTAAAGCATTCCCACGTGTATAACAAAACAGATGCATTTCTTAGTTGAAAATTAGAGAACTCTTTTTTTAAAAAAAATTGCCCGTGTATGTTTGTTGTCAAAGGAATATTAAATGCTTAACCAGGAAATGGAATTATATCAAAAATTGCAAATTTATCAAGAAGGAAAAACTTTGGGCAAATGTTGTCAAACACACACACAAATATACATAGAAAGAAAACATTAATTTTGCTTGATATTACTCATCCTTTACCACGTTTGAGTTGTCAATCGTGATGAATAAACCATATCGCTCCACTCGTTTTACCCTGCCAGAGATAATATCTCCAACATGCAAGCTATCCAAATTATTACTTCCAGATTGTGTCGCACTGGTTGCACCCAATGACTTCAATGTCACTTCAACTCGCTTCGATAGCGGCTCTACAGATGACACCCTGAACTTAAGCTTCTTAGTAATAGTACAGCATTACATCAATTTTCTACCAACAAGTAAAACTTTTTTAACACAGCCTGCAAATTTTTTATTTAAAAAAAAAAAGTAAAATAGAAAAAACTCCTTACCTGCCAATTACAAGTTTTCCAACTGGGAATTCTTTTTCAAGATCTTGAACATATCCATCAGATAAATTGGAGACAAGAATTTTGGCATCAATCTTCCGGGAAAGAAAAATAAAACATCCTTTTGGAGTAATATTTTTCACATAACCCTATGAGATCCAGAAATAATCACGACCAACATAAGACACTGCATTATCCCAGATCAGAAAGTACATAGAATAAAAATAAAAAATCAGTGAAGCTTTGGGAGAGAATAAATTCTACAACACCTGAACCATCATATTAGGATTAAGATCTTCGATCTTTTCCACGCGTTTGGTATGAGTATGCCTGAAGAGAAAAAATGTTAGTCTTTAGTAGCAAAACGAGGAAAACAAGAACCAAAGCAAGAAACAATTAGTGAAAACCAAAGAATAACAATTTAGATTGTAAGATTTTAGACAGCGACTATGCAAAAGTAAAAGCAAAATTTGTTCAGCATAACAAAAGGAAAAATGTTATTCACACCCCCAGTTTGTCATTCTACACTCTTTTTGTTCACGTTATAAAATAATAAAATATTGATTATGGAGTGCAGGACGACAAAGTGAAGTGTGAATATCAGCTGTATCAAAAACTAATAGAATAAGCCACCTTTTTAGTGACTCGTCATGTAATGACTGATACTTTATTCAAAGCAACAGAAGTCCAGCAGAATGCTAATATGTTTCAAA